CCCCCTCTCTTTAATTTCTCTCTATCGTATTCCTCTCTTCAACCCCTCCTCAACCTCCCACACCCTCTCTTCCACTGTCTCCTTTTCATTTTCTCAACCCCTGCTTCTCCTCTCTCCTTTGCTTTCATCATCTTCCTCATTTCCTCAACCTCTCCACCTCCCCTCTTCTCTCCCATCCTCTTTCTCATCCCCTCCCTCCCCTTCCTCTCTCATATCATCCTCTTTCTCATTCTCATTCTCATTTCTTCAACTCTCTCCATCCCCCCTCTTTATCCAATCTCCACATACTCTTGAACACCACCACCTCCTCACACCCCCCACCCCTCGAGCCTCCCACCATTCCCCCGGACCCCGGAGGAGTCGACCTACTAGGTGAGCCGTTTATCCCAGCGTGCCTCGCGTGCACGCCATGTCTCAAGGGAGTAGTAGAATCCATTTCTGAGCATTAGCACATTGTCCATTTCCATTTTGCTCCCCAGCAAAGAGACCCACAGTTCAAGAACCCGTTAAGTTTGAGCAAACGAGGACAGAGGAGGCCCCATATCTAGCCTGATGATCATCTCTGTGTTTCGTGAAAGAAGGCGTGTGCTTCGTAAAAGAAATTGTGGACTTCGTCAAAGGAAGTGCGTACTACGTCAAAGAAAGTGTGCACTTCTTACAAGAAAGTGCGTACTACGTCAAAGAAAGTGTGCACCTCGTACAAGAAAGTGCGTACTACGTCAAATAAAGTGTGCACTTCGTACAAGACAGTGTGGGCTACGTCAGAGAAAGTGCGAACTTCTCCAAAGAAAGTGTGTGGTTCTTACAAAAAATTGTGTAATACGTATAAGAAATAGTTCACGACGCAAAAGAATCTGTCTGTGACGTCAAACTACGTTTAACTTCATAAAGGGAATTACTTCAGTACAATACTCCAAACCCCTTTTCTCAACCTAAAAAAAAAACGAAAAGAAAAGAATAAAGAAGACAAAAAACCCAGTGTTGGCGACGTCAAAGAAATTGATCAATCCATCACAGAGCTTGTTAACTACACCATCCAATTTTAATTTTGCTGTAAGTACTGCGTCAATGAGATTGCATTCGCGGGTTTAGAGAGCAGGGTTTTGTGTCTGGCTTTAAAAAACAGAACAGCGACACAATGTCACAGGTCACGCGTCATCTCCACAAATTAGACGAAACAACGCCCCTAAATGTTCTAGGGCAGTTCCTCTTGTCCTGATGATCTATCGTGTGGTTTTATTGTATGGTTGTTTCGTTGCTACACATTGTGCCTTGGATACTGACACGTCTGTGCAATAAATAAGAAGGCAACAAACGCTATAACGACAACAAAAACAGCAACAACAACAACAACAACAACAACAGAATCAGCAGTAGCAACACTAGCAACAACAACGAAAATAACAAGAGCAACAGCAACAATACAACAACAACAACAACAAAAACAAAAACAACACCAAAAACAACAATAACAACTACAACGACGACAACTAACTAGAACGACGGCGACAACTGCAACAACAACAGCACCAGTGACAACAACAACAACAACAACAACAACAACAGCAACAACGCTGTCACAATGGATTATGATGTATTGCCCAGTGCGTTGTTGGCCCTGGCAGCGTTTCTTTCAACGACAACCGGAAACAGCGGAGGAATACCTATTGGTGAGTACGTTCGTCACTGACATGTTTGGTGTGTCTATGTGTTTCTGAGAGATGAGAGAAGAGAGATAGAT